TCTATTAAAAGATACGATCACGTTAAAAATTAAAGCGATCTTTTCTTTAATTCACTATTGAAACTATTGATCGTGTATTGAAATTAATCTCGCGTAGTTTTGTAAGATTTTTTGCGATACTTAAGAGATACAAAATGATCAAAACTCTTCGAAATTATTTTAAAAGATACGATCACATTAAAAATTAGAACGATCCTATCTTTTCTTTAATTCACTATTGAAACGATCGTGTATCGAAATGTAGGATCTCGCGTAGTTTGAAACGTCTCGTAAGATTTTCTACGCGATACGTAAGAGATATAAAAGGATAGACGGGAGATTTAATCGCTTCGAGAATCGAAACTTACAATCGCGTTAAAAATTAAAAAAAAAAAAAACAAAAGAAATCCTATTTTTTCCTTCAACTTATATAGTAAAATTGAATAGTAAGACGAGACGGTAGATCGCGTAGGTTTGAAACGTCTTGCAAGATTCTTTACGACACGAACGGCTGACGCATGCGCGATCGTGATGACAGCAACTCGATGCAACCCGACGTACGCCGTGGTGCGGAAACGTGATTTTTCGATAGCGATCGAACCGATTGAATAATACGACAAATACAACCGAGTAACGATATTACTCGTCCCTCGTCCCGAGATAGAATATTAAATCCGTAATAAAAAAAACAAGGAGTGTCATTAATCAACTATTCCCCCCTTGCCTGCAACGTCGAAATAAATTTATGAGACACGCGTTTCGTGTTAAAAAAAAAAAAGAAAAATTCTCGGTTGATCAATCGAACGAAAATTGGTAAAAATCTTGATCTGTAGTAATTAGAAAAAAGCCGCGTCAACTTAAGATAGGAAGAGAAATTGAAACCGTTAATTCGCATTTTCGAATCGTTTATTCGTGTATTCACGTTTCGAAGCTCGAAAGTAGGTCACGTGTGCACACGTGCGAGCGCAGTTAAGATAAGATAAATCGATTCGGGGAAAATTTTGCAGAGAAGAGAGACAAAGTGGATTTGGACAGAGGCAAAAAAACCGAAGCGAAGGGGAAAAAAAATTTATATCAGCCACGTTCGACTATTCCACATCGCTTACCCACAGGTGCAGAGCTCGCATATGCATTGCTCCTTCAGGGGTATCTTGGACAATATGTCGGGCAGTTTGACCGGTAGTTGGCGGGCGTCGTCCTCCTCGAGGGAATCGGGCGTCTGATCTCCTCTCCTCGGCTTCTCGGTCGGCCCCTCGTCGCCTCGCGTCGATTTAACGACCCTCTCCTCTCGGCTCGGTTTCCCCGCAGCGGGCACCGGTTTCCTCGTCGGCGAGACATAGTCCCGAGGTTTGCTCTGTGGCGACTGTGGCCTCGAGTCGCTACGTCTGAAATTTGTATGTTTTTGTTGATCGATTCGTTCTTAGTTCTTGGCAACGATTCGAAGAGGGGGCAACTGTCGAATTTATATGGAAATATATCCTTCGAATATATATATATGGAATTTCTTAACTTAAAACGATTTCATGCGTAAAACTTTTATATTTTACGTATCTTTATCAAGAAAAAAAATTTATTGAATATTAAAGTTTGTATTATTGTTTTTGCGTGATATTTTATGAAAGCAATTACCAAGATGGATTTGTCAAGGCAATTATAGCGATAATATCGTTCGATGTCTTTTTATCTTTCTTTAACATAATTATTGCTCTCACATTCACTATCTTATTATTCTTATTTTTCTTCTTATATTTTTCTCTTATTTCATCTTCATCTTTGTCATTGCTTTCTCTATCGTCAATTTCTTTATGAATAGAAATAATTTCGTCGTTCAATAACGAAAAATCGAACCAATTTCATTATTATAAAAACTTTGAAAATATTTCTATTCCCACGACTATCAAACTAGTCTAACTAGATGCAGATCCATCTTTTGATAGATAAGAAAATCTACATCCTTTCGACGTCATGTTATTCTACACCTCGTAAGATTTACACGATTAAAAAGGAATTTTTAATTTTTCCAAAAAAATCGAACATATATATAACGAAACAAATATATCGTCGCCGTTCGAATTGCCGCATCGATCCAAGCGATGCTGAAGAGTCACGGTTGGTTGGTCGCAAACGGTTAAAATCGGTTGGAAATTTCAATATTTGCAAGCTTCTCCTCACCTC